CCACCTCGACGCGTGGAAACACGAAATCAAGGATACACTCTATGAGATCTGCAGGAATCACGATCGAGGCGGGTCCATCGTGGATGGCGGCGGGAGAAATAGACCATGCACGTGCCATCGAGTCCACAAGCTCTATGCGATCCACCGTTGTCATGGTTGGCCATACCTTCTTCGCATTCAATAACATGAAATGAAGGTAGTTGTGTCCGATAAGAGGAAATGAGTCCCTCGTGCCTTCGAATGCTGTGCGCAGATAATCAACCCAAACGTATCGTAAGTCGTGGTATGAGTGTTGCATATAATATACGAAATATGTCATCCCAGATATTGACCGGTCATCTGACATTCGCATGTTGTTGGGGAACTGTTCACACGCAGGTGACTCAAACTGTACGATCATGCCCATTCCTTTGAGAATCCACCTCGCCATCTCCAAGTCGTCCACGCTGTATGATCTTCTATCCATATACGGAGTACACAACATCTCGAATATCTCCTTCCAAGGTACGTCCTTCATCCTCACCGCATCCATCAACGACGATGCAGGTACCTCTGTCAACTGCTTGATGAGGGTAATGAACATGTTCCGTGAAGCTGGTGATACTTCGATGTAACTTACAATCCAAAACAGACCATCTAACGCGATTTCACCTTTCCCTTCGAACTTCTCCTCTTCGCGTTTCGTGAATGTGAGTCGCTGTTCAGGGAATTTTCTTCGTCGAGGTGGCAAGATGGGATCAAAGGTGTGCTGGAGCCATACTAGTGCCTGTCTGACGATACCGATCAACTCCTTGGATACGGGCGTGCGGAATGGCGCGTCCACGGTGATGATACTGATCAATTTGGTGATCGTGTACAAGAGACATCCTATTCCAATCCCTCCGATAACGATTCCTGAAGTCGTTCGATTCATATGCCAAAGCCAGTGGGCTATCCCGATGAAGAATAGGAACAATGCGACAAAGATGAGAAGTGGAAGCGACGCAATCAGCTCTGACATCTTCCATCTCTCGATTCCCATCAACCTCATGTGTCGTTGAAGCGCCCGCTTGCGAGGTGA